CAACAACAAGCACATCAAATCATGCCATTCTTCATCAAATTTTACGATGATTCAAGATCAAGCTCGTGCAGCCTTTGGATCCAACCAACCAACAAAGGAGATCGAATCAGAGGACCTTAAAAGGAGATCGAATCGTGTGTAAAGAATATTATTACAGAGGATTGTATTTAATATTTATAAATTAATAAAAATCTATTTGCTCCCAATTTTGTTATCTTATTTGCAGATTACAAAATTTGTGCGTACAACCCCCTCGACTTGTAACTTTTTTTTCCAATAAATCCCTTTTATCTATTTTTTTTTACCAAATAACCCCTCAACTATCTGAAGGGGGTAATATAGTTGATATTTGGACCAAAATGCTCTTTTATTTAAATTTTAATTCTCCCGAACTTCAAAAATTTATATCTCACAAACTGTATATTTAAAAATTATAAATAATATATGCACGGAAAGTTTATAAAATAAGGATTTAAAATATAAAATTTGTATAATAAACCTTTACAACCAGAGAAAATAGGCAATCTAAAAATCTACTCCAACAATCTTAATTTATTTTAAAAAAATAAAATACCCGAGATATTTGCAAGAAAATTTTCATAATCATTCATTTACATATGGAGCCGAATATATAAAAAATTTAGTACCAACAGAGATCGATTTCATGAGATATCATATTTTGCGTCAAAGCATTTTCATTCTTTTACAGACTCACTATTTAAAAATAAAATAAAAATGAATATTCGGTCTTTATTGGGGCTAATTTTTTTATATGTTGTGCTCCATATGAAAATAAATAATTTTGAAAATTTTCTTGCAAATAACCCAAGTATTTTATAAAAAATAAAATAAAATAAGATTGTTGCAATAGATTTTTAGATTGTCTAATTTTCTCTGGTTATAAAATTTTGTTAAACAAATCTTATATTTCTGGAACCCTTGTTTTATAAGTTTTCCATTCATATATTATTTGAAATATTTGGATGTATGGTTTGTTATATATTAATTTTTGAAATTCGAAAAAATTTAAATTTAAATAAAATGACATTTTGGTCCAAATATCAACTCTTTTACCACCCTTAGATAGTTTAGGGGGATTCTTTGGTAAAAAAATTAGATAAGGGGGATTTATTGGAAATGGTTACAAGTCGAGAGGGGTTCTTTGGTAAAAAATTAGATGAGGGGAGTTTACTGAAAAAGCTACAATTTGATGGGGGTTTTCTGTATTTTGCCCTAATAATAATAATACTAATAAAACCTCAATATTACCTTGCTAGATGAGAATTTATGACAAAATGTTGAGTCCAACATGTTAGGAGAAACTTTCAAGGTTGAAATGGATGAACATAATAATGTGAAAGCATTGCTTTTTTTTTTTTTTTTTTTTTTAATTTATTTATTTAATTTTTATATCTATTTAAGGGTCCATTTGACAGTTGTTTTTGATTTGTGTTTACTAGTATATTGTAACGAAACTAGAAGCATGTCTGGTAACGTTTGTTATAATTTGAATCGTATTGAAGCACTTCCAAAATCAGAAATATAAAAATGATGTTTTCGCCTTTTAGTTGTTTCTACACAGCAACAAAGCACTCTAAAATAATAAATAAATTAATTTAAAAATAATAAATTAATTTTTTTTTTTAATTACCCATTTAAATTTTCAAACTTGCAAAAGTTTTAGTGTTAAACACACTCTAAAATAGAAGCACCACTTTCGATTCGGGTCAAAGTAAAAGTAAAAACGATTGCCAAGCAAAGCTAAAACTATATCCTGTATTGATCTTAATATGGCATTCAAATCTGATGTATAGAATTCATATCTTGGAGTCCCGTGACAGCTATAAGAGAAGAAAGATGAAAATGAAGTATATTAATATACTTGTAAGATTGGTGATCAATACTTTCAAGACTGGTAACGACATATTATTTGCCTAATAAAGGGATTGTACTAGCAATTGAAACACCCAACCCCCCCCCCCCCCCCCCAAAAAAAAAAAAAAAAAAGTGTTGAATTCCAAATTGTGTAACACTTTGCAATCAAAGAGAATGGAGAATAAGTAAAAAGAATAAATCAATTGAGAAAATAAGAAATTTATTAGGTTCACGCTGATCAAAACATATTCATATATGAAAAGAAAAAAGGAAAATATAAATAACTTATTCATAGATTCAATCATCCATAAATTAATTAACCCTGTAAAAACCTATTATTCTTAAGTTATTTATTTATTTATTTTTTTTGAATGATATATTATTCTTAAGAATAATGTTGATGTTGGTTCTAAATCACTCAATTTTTGTATCGCTCCCAAATTCTGAGCGCGTTCCTCCTCTCACGTCCTCACAAATTCTCACTATTTATAACATACTTTTATCACTCTCCCGCTCCAACTCTGGAACTCTTTTTGCTCTCACTTATATATGTCTTAGTGTCGGTCATGAATTTTTTTTTGTTATTTCTTTTGATTTTCTTTAAAGTCAAGCATGGGATAAATTTGAATGGAAAAAGACAGGGTTTAAAAAGGTGTACGTAGGACTTTTGGGGTTACATAATTAATGCGCACGTCATGAATGGAAAGTTGGGCAACCCGTCACAGCATCAAGCTTTGAAAAATCAGTAATTATACTAAAATTAATTACCAACTGAAAACCCTAGATCTATAACTCTCCGCTTTTTCTTTTTCTTTTTCTTTATTGAAGGGTTTTGTTTGTCACTAGCTGATGTGGACATGGAACTCTTCGCATTCTTTTTTCTTTGGTTCTCTCAATTCTTAATTTTCATTATTATTCTTGCTTCTACTTCAAATACAGTAATAAATATCGAGCTTAACTGGTTAACTAAAGACAAAAAACACCTTGAAAAAAAAAAAAAAAAAAAAAATTTGGCACGGATCATGGTATAAACGATGGTTGATATCTATACCATGATCAACCATATATTTATAAATATATATATATATTCAAGACATGAGATAATTTGTACATCTCATATCCGAAAAGAGATGTGCTGTTGAGTATGCAATAATTGGCATGGTGATATTAGAAACAGTCTGTATATATGGTACTAGGTGTGTGGGTGTATATTTGAAGTGTTGCTATTGGCGCGCTGTCAGTAGATTTTTACGCATCACCTTCAATTATCTTATACATCTAAAATACTAAATGACATGCTTACCCCTCAATAGCCCATATAAATTCCTAGACTTCAATTTTTCTAGCTTTTTTGATCCCATCTACCCTCTGCCTTTCCCTTCCCCTCTCTCTCTCTATCTGAATTCCGTGCACTAGGATTGCTCTGTGGAGGGAGAGAAAATTACAGAGAAGACAAATCAGGGTTTATATATATATATATATAAATTGAAGGGCTTTGGGGTTTTGAATTTGAGAGAGAGAGTGTGTTTATGTGTCTTTATTCTTTTAGGTGCATGGGAAGGGAATCGAGGTAGCCTTGGACAGGATATGAAGTTGATAACAAGACAACCTTAACATTGGCATTACAAAAAAAAAAAAAAACCCATTTGAGGAAAATAAGAACCAAAAGGAAAATGAAAGCTCACATATGCAAAATTCTAGCAGGATCAGCAATTTGATGATGTTTGGTTGGTATTCTGATTGGATGAGGCACAAATTTTGGTTTCGGTAAGTACATTGAAGTTTTTTGAGATTCTCTCTGCTTTTGCATGTGATTTGTGGGTATGAATTTTGAAGGTTCCTCTTATTTTGATTATGGTGGGATTTGATATTAATTTGTTGTTTAACCACAATGAGTTTATAGGATATTATGATTTCAAATTAAGAACATTGTTATTATTATTATTATTTTTTTTCCTCTTTTTGTGGGTAGAGAGGTTAAGGGGTGTGTCTCTATCCTTCAAGGTTGTTAATATGCTCCAAAACCATGTCACACTTGGTCATGTGCACCTAATTTTGATCAAGAATAATTTTATATTGTTGGTTTGAGAAGAATTAAATCCAAGTTTTCATCTTTATAAGCTTAAGGTCGACAAGATTTTAGCTTTTAAGTTTTAACCAACTTGATCTTAAGCTATTCTATGGGTTTCAAATTTTATTGTTTGATGTTCATCACAACTATGTGTTGGAGATGTTGGACACTACAAAAATTTACATTGGGTTTAGAATTTAGATTGAAGGAATTGTAAGGAGCAAAAAAGAATTAAGAAAAAGAGCAGAAAGAATGATAGAAGGGTTTTGTCCCTGCAATGTTTTCTACTCTCTCTTTATTTATTTATTTTATTTCCTCTACTTCTCCAAATGCATTGTTAAATATAAAGTCTATGGCCTTAGGGCATTTTCGTCATATCATTACGGGGGATATCATACATTAAATAATTACAAGGTTAATCTTGTAATTTAATTGTATACCAAAGGTAAAATTGATACTTCACTCTAAAAGAGAATATGTGACTTTCGCCGAAATCACATTTGTATATATATTTTAAGGGAGTTAATTATGTTTTTTGCCAAAGTTTTCATCTTTGCATGACAGCATGAGAAGTACAAACTTGTCATTTCATTCTATGAGACTGAAGGATGGAGTGCATGAAGTCATTCTTGGAGGGCCAATAGTGATATTCTCTATTTTTTCTGCTAATAAAGTTGGATGGGTTCAGTGTTTAGACGAATCTGACGGCTAACATTGACTCAGATTAAAGAATTTGTCAGAACAAACCGGAGCCCAATGACTAATCATTCCTTCACAAAGACAAAGGTCTAGTGAAGGTATAACTTCCAGTTTAAGATAAAAAATTACCTCTCACCTCACACAGCCTGGAATCTAAGCAATTACAGGAAAAAAAATAAAAAATCTCAGCAATTGCATGTCTGTGAATAAGCCACTCATTGCTTTAACCTCTGTTTTTTTTGAATTTTTTTCCTAAATGAGATTAGTTGTTAACTGTAAAACAAATTAGGAAAGTTTTGCCGAATCTGAGGTTAAGCCATTTCGTCCCACAATGTTCTTAATCATTGGACAATACAGCTTAAACAGAAACGCCAAAATAGAGACTGTGTGTGGCCCGTGGGGTAGAGAGAGAAAGAGCTAAGCTTTTTGCATTTAGCTGTACACGTTTATGATGTAATGCGTGTGTGAGGGATTGAGCTTCAGGCATGGTTTATTTCTGTCATGTGAGGTTAGTTTTCATCTGGGTTGTCCTTAAACTTTCTTGGATTGTATCTCTGTAGCTTTGGATTTTGTTCTTCTTTTGTGCTATGCACTTTTAATGGCTAAAAATCAGTTGGTTTTTCTTCTGATTTGGGGTTGGTTGTTTTGAAGACTATATTTGTAGTTAACACTCTTTCTTTTCTTCTGGATCTGATAGCTTTGCTTGTACTTCTGGTCTATATTTTAGATGGGACTGTGTCTATATCTATTTGTTCATTTGTCTATACATATTTATATATGTTCTTCTAATTCGTCTTCAGAACCCATTTCTTTAAAATGCAGGTCTGCAATCATTTTGTCTTTTCAAATCATTAACTTGGATTTCTCTTCTGTACTAAAAGTTGAGCTGATTTTTATTTACTGTTTATGGGTCTTCTTTGAAGAACTGTTGCTTTCATTGAACAAATTCAAAAGAATTTATGTCTATTGCGTTAGTTTGAATCTACACCTGAAACCCAGTGATTCTTCTTCGTGGTTCTTCTTGTTAGATATAAATATTTCTGTTTAATGGGTTAATTGAGTTGTTGGTAGATGCTAAAAGTATAAACAAATAGTCAGCTTTGTTTTCATCTTTTTCATATAAGAAGAAAACAATGAAAATACATCATGCAGGAAACTTGTTCTTTATAATTCTGAATTATTCTTTTACTGTTGTGTTGAGAAGGACCAATCTCATTTTCTTCTTCCTTTGTAGAAATAGTGAATTGCAGCCATGTCTTTAATTAATCTGCTTCTCTCTAATCTCTACATCGAATTTCTGTCTGTTGCAGTTGTTTGACGGAGTTTAGTTTGTGTTGAAGCCTATTGTAATTGCTCCGTCAATGGGTTTCTACTTCTCGTTGTTTCTCTTTCTGGCACATGTTTCTGCAATTTTGGCTCAAACCATTGAAGAGGCAATAATTGTTGTCAATGGGACTAAAGCTATTGCCAACACAGATCCTGATTATGTCTGTGCTACTATGGATTGGTGGCCTCGTGAAAAGTGTAACTACAACCATTGCCCTTGGGGAAATTCATCAGTGATAAATCTGGTAAGGATTCAAAAAATAATATTTATTAAATAAGAATTGAATCAGCTTTACCAGAATGTATAGTTCTTTTTGATGAATTGGAAACAAACAGAAATATGACTACTGTGTTCACTTCAATCTTACCAGGACTTAAATCATCCTTTTCTTGCCAAGGCTATTCAAGGTTTGTATGGCTGGACTGTTATGTTTTTACATTCTGGCTGGACTAGCTGTTCTTAAAATGTACAAGAATAATTGAAACCTGATGAAGAGAACAGGCCATTTAATTTTCGGATTTGTCAAGAACTCCTTTTCATTTATTTTCCATTTTTATATTGGTGGCTTAACAGCTTTCAAGCCCTTGAGAATAAGAATAGGAGGTTCTTTGCAAGACCAAGTACTATATGACATAGGAAATTTGAGATCTCCTTGCCATCCATTTCAAAGAAAAAAAGGTGGGTTGTTTGGATTTTCAAGGGGATGTCTACACATGGATAGGTGGGATGAACTGAACCGCTTACTCAGTAAGACAGGGTAAGATTTAAACTTTCCATTTTTTTCCTTTCAATCGTTTATTTTGGGTTTATAGTTAAAAATAAATGCTTAAATTCACTTATTAGGGTGGCCGATTTTGATCTGCTTCCTAAGATTTACTTTCAGTTGTTTCTTCTTTCAACATGTTGTTTAAAGAAAAGCCATACTATTTTTATAAACTCTAGGTTCTCTAATGCATAAAAAAACTTAAATTTCTCAAGCTTCTCTGCGAAACATTCCATCATTTAGATTGTATTCTCTCTCACAAATTTCCTTGTTTTATTCAAAGGAATATGCTGGTTATTCTTACTTATAACCTATTCATTTCCATGCTAAAGTAGGGTGTAGTTGTGCTTAACTGTGGTCTATTAATTTTTTGTCTGTTTTTTGTAGAGCACGTGTGACATTTGGCTTGAATGCATTACACGGGAGGCACCTCACTAAAAAGGAGCTTTGGGAAGGAATTTGGGATTCCAGTAATGCCTGTGATTTCATCAATTACACTATTTCCAAGGGTTACCAGATAGATTCATGGGAATTTGGTATGTCTATTATGCAAATCACTTTGTTTCTTGAACTCAGTCATGTGGTTTGCCTCATCTTTGCTTTTGCTGCTGCAGGTAATGAGTTAAGTGGCAAAGGTATTGGTGCCCATGTTTTTGCTGAACAGTATGGAAAAGACTTGATTCACCTTAAAGCTGTCATCTCTGAGTTGTATAAGAACTCTCAATCCAAACCACTACTTGTGGCACCCGGAGGATTCTATGATAAGGGGTGGTTTGATAAGCTCCTTCAGGTTTCAGGCCCTGATGTGGTTAATGTAATGACTCTTCATCTATACAATTTAGGTGCAGGTGGGTGAGTCTAGCTGATTTCTTAATATCCAATTATTTTCTGTATAACAAGTACGTGAACAGTTTTTTTGGATAGGTTAGCATACACACACCCAAATTGCCCCAATGGGAACTTAGATCCTAACCTTCCATATGGGAGGAGGAGGAGAAACCACTTTAGGTAAAGACTTGTTGATATATATGAACGTATGTTCATCATCATCATCATCTTGCCTTAAATGGCATGTCCGTTCCTGGCGAGAGAATAGAAAAAAGAATTGGGTCACAGTTTTTATGGCAGCAGAAAAAGGCCAACAACCAACAATCCACTGGATCCGTTTCATTATTGTCTTTAGGACAGAGAAAAAGATAATGAGTGAAATAAATTGCTATATGGTTATTGTTAACTGTCAATTGAATTAAAAAAATGTCACTGTTGAATCAGATATACATTGTCCAAAGTCATAATAAATGCAACATTTGTCTATACTAGTATGTATTACCAATTTGCCATGGGTGTCCATATATATCTGAACCATATATGTTTAAGTTGGAGCTTGAATTTTCATGTTTGGGTAACAACAAGGGCTAGATTTTATATATTAAATAATAGTCTCGTGCCATTCATTTGAACAAATCCGGGATCCACTGAAAAACACACTTCCAGTATTTATTGGACATATAAAGATCCATGAGCCAGTAACTTCTATTATTACTCTGTTTCAGGTGTTGACCCTCATCTTGTGCAAAAAATTCTGGATCCCCATCACTTGAGTGAAGTTTCAGTAACCTTCCGCAATCTTAGTGAAACAATTCAAACGAAAGGTCCTTGGTCTTCTGCTTGGGTTGGTGAATCTGGGGGGGCCTTTAACAGTGGTGGTCGTCATGTGTCTGACACTTTTGTCAACAGTTTTTGGTAATTTTTTCTTCTTGTTGCAATCATTAAATTCTGTCATCTTAAGCTTTTTCATCACATGAAAAGAGAAAATTTCATTGAGCAATTATGTCTTCTGTGATGGATATTTTTCTGAACTCATACTCATATATAAAAATTAGGTACTTAGATCAGCTTGGGATGGCCGCCATGTATAGCACTAAAGTGTACTGCAGACAAACTCTAATAGGTGGAAACTATGGTCTCCTCAACAGAACCACATTTGTTCCCAACCCCGATTATTACAGGCAAGGGCAATAAATTTAAAACTTTCTAATCAACTTCATATTTACTAACCATTAATTGAAATATATTATGTATTGAGCTTTTGTGCTTTTACTTTGTAAGATTCGTCTAATATGCAACTCTTGCATCTGTTGATTATCCGACTCTATACAGTGCACTTTTGTGGCATCGGCTGATGGGAAAAGAAGTTCTTGCTGTTAATACCAGTTCTTCGCCATATTTACGGTCATACGCCCATTGTTCAAAAGGAAGAGTAAGGGCTCTATTATATTTATTAATTATGTGATAAATTTATATAAAGGCCAAAAAGAAAAAGAAAAAAAAAAAAATTGCAGCAAGGTAAGAGGCGTTTGAGGCAACACTAATCTGAATGACTTGAATCTGGGGATCGTTGTGTCTCTAAGCACGATGAGATGGTCATAACATCATGTCAGTGATTATTTTAACAAAACTATTTTGTCCATCCAATATGATTTGTGCATGCAGCCAATCAGGCAAAGTTTTGAGATGAATGTGAACTTGCCTGATTGGTGTGCAACAAGTTTTTCATCATTTATTCATGGAAGACTATCTCATATACATGCAGAATCTTCTTATCTCTTGAGGGAATACCTAAGACATTTGGCTCAGAATATTTTTTTTCCCTAAACGAAAGACATTTCAGTTCACACAAGGCACACTTGTTGCACCTCAAAGCATGCATTCTAACACAAGCTCTCATACATTTGTATAGTAAATGGAATTGTGGTCACTGAAGCTCCATAAAGCCTCGTTTTTTTTATTTTTTTGGAGTGTTTATGAAGTCATATCACATTTATATAATCTCCGTACTAATGCTAGTTATGTCATCTTATGAATGTAGTCCTTTCTAATGTTATCCTTTGTTGTCTTATTACACAGTTTCCCTAAAATTGAGTGTAAACAAAAAATGGATGTTGATATAGATGTGGGAACAGTGGAATAAGAAAAATACTTGAGATGGTAGAAGTTCCACCACTCACAAATAATTTGAGTGAAAATGAACTACGATGGGTTGGTCATTTACAACATAGACCAATATTTGCATTTGGGAAAGAGTGAGGCTTTTTGCATTGAGGGTGTAAAGGAAGGAGGGCTCCAAAATTGATGTGACTGAGGCAAAAAGAGAAGACAGACGTAATAATATATGCAGTTTTAGTTAAATTTATGGTCCGATAGAGAAAAATGGCTGAAGAGGTTGAAATTTTAATATAGCTTATCTGAAATAATTAGGGCAAGATCATTCTTTTAGTTGAGTTGAATTGAATTGAGGAGCCTTTTTAAGTTGTTTCCAGTGTTCCTTAGAACACGCAAAGGAGAACTGGAAATCTACAATATAGTTCTTCATTACTTCTTGGGGAGTCATGGAACTGAAATCTGCTTTAGGGGCTGGTCACAGGGACCTTAGTTTTCAAGTTCTAACATTTGGGGAAAAGGGTTAAGGCCATAAATCTGTCTCTGTCTCTCCTATATTTCTTTTCACTTTTAGTGGCTTAATTCATATGCATCTGTTCCACATACGTACACAGTATATGAAGGTATATATCATAACTATGTAGATAATTTTTTAGGACATCCAACTTATGCGGATTAAGTCATGTTATTTCATTTTATATTTAGAAGGAACTTTAGGGAGCAAGTCCTCATACCTCTAAACTAACGAGTAATGTTGCCTCTTTGCGTCTAAAAAAGTAGTCTAAGTTCTAGCAACATTCCCTATTCTTGGAGCTCATTTTACCCCATATTAACTACTGTTGTCTTGTTACAGGCCGGTGTGACTTTGCTTCTGATCAATTTAAGCAACCAGACCAAATTTCATATTACTGTTGAAAATAGTATGGGCATTAACTTGGCCATTAAAGAGGATACGAGGCACATGGATAGGTCTTTCTGGCATGGTATTAAGAAAAGAGTTGCATGGGTTGGAAGCAAAGCATTGGATGGACCAATATTCAGAGAAGAGTATCATTTGACTCCAAACAATGGCAATCTCCGAAGCAAAACCGTGCTTCTAAATGGAACACCATTAGAGATTTCAGGTGGCGGGGATATCCCAAGTTTGAACCCAGTCTTGGTTGATATAAGTTCTTTACTATATATTCCTCCCTTGTCCATTAAGTTCATAGCATTGTCCCACTTTGAAGCTAAAGGTTGTCCACGATGATTCTCTACATTACGTTAGACATTATTTTCGCAGAATAATAGTGTTGTAAGGTAAGTGTAAAGCTCTTGTTGCAAAATATTGTCGAATGTTTGGTCCATCTTCAGTCTTCCCCTCCTAACACCCTGTGTAATTAGGACCACTATTGTATAATGGCGTTTTGATAATTGTAAGCTCTTAGTGCGAGTGTAGATATATTGAGGATACATGTTGTGGCAATAAAAAAGATTGCAACTTAATACTTATTTATTCTATATATATAATATTATTTATTTACAGTAATTTATTTTGTTCATCATTTACCTTAGGAATCTCTCAGCAAATCCATTTTAACATGGAAAAGCACATTGTTGGTTAGCATATTTCAGAACACAACATTGTATGCCTATGATGGACACAGAAAAAAAGGGAATAGAAAGATAACAACAAAGTTATATGTTCTATGCCATGTTACTTCAATTGTGAGTTACTAAAGCTAAAAGTATATTTTGGAGGAATAGACAATTTCTGTAGAAAATGGGTACAAAAGTGAATCAAGGCTTGTAATTCTAACCATAACTGGATAGTTCAGCATCATCAAATCATAAAAAATTTGTTGCGGCCTAGGATCCAAATACAAATCCTTCGTCACAGTATACATAGCATGTGTGTCTACAGTCCGGGCAACAAAACAAGGCATGCCCAATAAAGTGGGTTTTTGTATATGTATTTGTAAGGGTGTCTGAGAGCAGGTCCAATGGACAAAATTCCCGCGATATTGGGCCAGATTTGAAGATTGGACTGTTCCAATGGGGTAGCTAAAAATTGGGCCTCACCCATTGGATAACGGAATGGGTCGCGGTATTCCGCGACCCAGTTGGTGAGCCGTGGGCCTACCATGCGGGCCCGCATCCATTTTCTTTTAATTTTTTTTTTATTCTGGCCCAAAACTGATATTTAGCCCAAAATACTTTTCCTAAGGGCATGTTTGCTTGAAAAAAAAGGAAAAAAAAAATCAGTTTTTTGACTGATTTTGGGCTTTTTTTTTTTTTTTTTTTTTTTTCAAAATAATTGAACCAAAGAGCCGTGACACAACAAGTGCCTTTGCTTTTTTGGGCAAAAAAAGTTTAAAAAAAATAGATAAAAGTGTTTTTTTTTTTTTTTTTTAAATTTGCTTTTTAAAACGTTTTAGGCACTGTTTGGCTTACCCAAACAGTGCCTTAAAGGCTATATTGGCACAAAAACCTATTTTTTGAAATTTTTTTCGAAAAAATTCATTATATATATATATATATATATATATAACCTTTCATTTTTCCTGTATAAATACATCAACCCCTACTATTATTCACCTCATATATCTTCTCTAGTTTTCAACCTACAACTACAACCACTAAGTCATTTTCTCAATTTTTTAGTTATATTTTTTACTCAAGTTTAATTTCATGGATCCTTCACCACTATATTGCAACTACAACTCTCAATTCAACCAATCAAATGATAATTTTGATCCTTTCTTATTTGTTGGAGAAAAATCTTAATTTGTTGGAGATGAATATCAATTTCCGTCTCATCAACCTTCTCAAGTTTCTAACATTTCTACTGTAGTGCCATAATCCAGTAACTCCCAACCTCCCAGAAAGCAAAGGGCTATTCGGCCTCCTAATTGGTTTAAGGTTGAAGATGAGGCTTTATGTTATGCGCGGATGGCCATTAGCAATGATGCGGATGGCCATTAGCACTGACGCGGTCATCTGTTCAGACCAACAAAAGACAGCGTTATGGATCCGAATTCAAGAAAGTTTTGAGCAACACGTTAGTGGTGCTGGTACACCTAAAAGAAATCATATCGCTTGTTTAAATCGTTGGTCTATCATGCAACAAATGATTACCAAATTTTCTGGATGCATGGCCCAGATCGAAAGGAATTACCCCAGTGGGCAAGACAATGAGTACAAGGTAAGCTATTTATTATATTAAATTTAATTGGTAGATATTTTAAAGATTTGTCTTCTAATAATTATTATTATTTTTTTATTTTTTTAGATGATAGCAGCCAAAGAGTTGTTTGCTCTTCAAAATAACACCGAATTTAAGTTTGACAGTTGTTGGAACATTTTGAAGAGCAACAATAAGTGACATTTACATTGTCAAAAAGAATTGACATCAAAAAAAAAAAAAAAAAAGTAGAAGAAGAGGAGTGGAATCCACATTGATGATAGTGTGCCTATTGGTCACTCAGACCCATCTATTCCATCAAGTAATGCAACAACGACACCAAGTTTGGTTGAAGGATTAGCACACATAGGCGAAAATGATCCGACGGATGTTGAAGAATGTCAGCGACCAGAAGGATGAAAAGCACCAAAGCAGAGGCAAAATAAGGATAAAAAACAATTTGAAAGTCAGAATGATTTCATTAGCAAATTCGATCATGCAACAGCCCTTTATCAAAGACAATCTGAAACTCTTGAGGCCACCCAAATAGCATGAGAGGCATGCAAAGCAGATAAAGAGAAAACTAGACAACTCGAGCTTCAAAGCCAACTAAGAGAGATTGAAAACAAACAAAGAGTTAAAGAAATATTAATCATGCAAAAAAATCCAAAATTGATGCCAACATAAGCCAGGAAAGTATAGCTAATTGAACGCCAAAATGAAATATTAGCATCTATACGCGCACGCGGTAACTCAAGTTTTCCATAAGATTATCTCAAGCATTCCATATGATTGTTCTATTTTTCCTAGTTGTTATGTTTTTAATTCATGTCGTATTGTATTGTTTTTTATTTGTATTGTATTGTTTAAATTTATATCGTATCGTATTGTTTTTAATAATAAATATTATATTGTTTAATTTTTTTTATTTATGATATAGCCGTTTTAAAAATATAGCTCTTAGGAAAAAGTTAAAAAAATAAAATTTATTAAAAATTTAAAAAATATTAATATTTTTGGAGAGCGAAAATGTATCATTAGAGTATATCCGATAGCTAAAATTTGGAGATTCTAAAACGCTGACGCAGCTATGAGAAATGCTGACGTGGCTATTGAAAAATGCTGATGCGCCAAATTCGGAGAGCCTAAATTCGGAGAGTCTATTGGAGATGCCCTAAGGCCGAATCAGGCAACCTTATGTTTTTGCAGGGATTGTGTGACTGCGATTGTGGGCCCCGCCACGTGGCGTCACCATATATGTGGTGGGGCCACACTCACATATATATATATATATATTCTCTAAAAGTAGGAGGATGTATTGTTGTTCAATAAAAAATAATAATAATAATAATTTTCTATTTGATAATCTTCCATGTATATTTCTTAGTCATTAAAGGCACAATTTTCATTTCAATGAAGGCTCTGGATTTATTTATTGTTCGGGCAAATCTGTTAGGAGAGTTGGGCGCTCTACTAGCTAGATCACTGGGCGCTCGACCGGCTAGACCACTTAATAATGTCAATTCTGAATTGATGTCAACTCTGTATTATATTAAGGGAAAAATCACATATCCCCCACGACTATCATTTTCGTCCAAAAAACCACCACTAAAATTAAACACCCTGGACTATAAAACGTCGTCAAGTTACCTCAATTTACAAAAATACCCGTCTTCTTCCTTCAACACCTACAATCACAGACAGCACTAAAGAGAGCCTTTTTTTATTAAACCAGTGAGTTTGTGTGTGTGTATATATATATATATATATATATATATATATATATATTTCTACACATATAGACAGACATTTCTGTAATCTGGGCAATCTAAAACCAACTACTCCATACAGGGGCTTCACATGTCACTTTCCACCACAGCAAGGTATATTCATGTCCAATTCATTGAAACTAGTCAAGGCCGTACACGTGGATAACAAACATGTTTTAGAGATAATCAGAACCGATTGCCGGTGGATGCACAGATTCAGAGAGAGAGAGAGAGAGGTTGAGTACAAACAAAAGAGTTTTTTCCGGAAAGAAAACAAACAAGATGAATAAACAAGAACATTAGAGTTGAAGGATATAGCCCATGCAGTGCACATAAATTTAATAAATTACAAGACACCCATCAAAGTTCACAATCAAAACAAAATCTGAATACAAACAAAATCTGGCCACTTCTTTATTGGTACTCTCTCTACATATATTATATCTGATGTTCTATATATATATATATATATATATATTATATACATACACATGTAATTTTGGGTTTTGGAATGAGTATAAAAATGGCATGTAATTTTGGGTTTCATGGAATGAGTATAAAAATGGTTGAAGGTACGTCAATGGAACAAGCTTGAGAGAGAAGAAAAAGGGAAAGACCAGAAAGCTTCACCATTGTCAAAACCAATAGCTTCAACATCGTCAAACTCCATGGACACCGGCCAAAGCTCAACTACCAATTTCTGTTCATTTCAGATAGCTTATCCATTGGTGGACTTAGATTCTCGGCATAAGATCTTGGCTTTCTTAATCAGCAGGCGCCCCTTTTATTTAACTGACTTGTTAATCAGAAGGTGCAGGTCTGGATCATGCTTGCTCTGTTTCTTTGATGGGTCTGGTTTTAGAAAGAGAATGGTAGAGAGAGAGAGGGACGAAGAGGAAGAAGATTACTGTTTTAAATTTAATACCTTGTTTAACCCTCCACGGTGACCTTGTGGTCGCTGAGCAGAACCAACGAGTCGAGAGTGGGTCGCCATGATAGCCACCCAAATGCAGCAACTTAGCTACCCAAGCTGCTGCCGTGAGAAAAACCGCGACTTTGTGGTCGCTATTCTGGCAAAAGCTCCAGCAACCACAGCAGGTGCAGGCCGTCAGTCCGGGTTGTCCGGCTATCTGAACAATGATTGTGAAACTGTCAAGTAATTCGTCAAGATTCTGGGTTTTGATTTTAGGAAGAAGACTCGGGGGTATTTTTGTAGTCCAACGAAGACGAACTGTTTTCATTAGAATCCACCATAATCAAAATTTGCTCAGTTGCTTCAAAATTTGCTGATTATCCAATAACTGATATTATAGAAGAACCAAAACCAACTATTTTCATCGAACTAGGTGAATAAGACTCGGGTATTTTCATAATTTTATAATAATATTATAAGTTTTAAATTTAACAATTAAATTATAAGGGCAGTTTTGTTATTTTATACCAATTTGGGGGTAATGTGATGACGTTTTATAGTTTAGGAGGATGTTTAATTTTAGTGGGGACTTTTTGGATGAAAATATAGTATAGGTGAGTTATGTGATTTTTCCCCCTTATATTATATGTTAAACCTTGTTCAATTAAAATTATTTATCTTTGTTTCAAATGGTCAAACCAATTTAGCTAAATTATCTCATTGTATTTTCAATGGATAATAATTTATTGCAGAACCATCCTAATTTCTACATTTCAACCAAAATGTGTGTTTCTTACACAAGCAATATAACACTGAAAGTTGGTTCAATAACCATTCTGTAGAAATTATCTTCAAAAACTTAGAAGTAATCAGCTATATCACAATATTCGCATAAATGCTCCATTAACTCATTCTGCTTTAATTTTTATAACCAACATCATCTAATCTCTCATTCTTTAGGTCAAGAAATACCTTAAAAACTGCATTATAAAATTGCCACAGAAGCGATTTTATCATATTTAAAAAGTAATACAAGGTAGTCAAATTTTTGAGGCAAATCATCTTTGGGATTTAATTTATAAGTGAATCTTCTGTACAATGCAAGCACCAATTGGCCAATTAAGAACTGACAATGAACCACTAACAACTACTTAAAACCCTGGAACCCTAAAATCAATGAAGAGTAGCTCAACATTTTTTCTCCTAAAATATAGATACATACCCTAAATATACTATGACAATGAATTACATGATGACTAAAACAGGAATTCAGTGTCAGAAACTTCAAGGACCTTGTGTACACCTATAGGCTTTACGCCTGGCCGGAATCTGCTTCCTTCGATGTACCTGCAGTAGAATATAAGAGTTAAAAATGCAAGTGTTTAAGAATTTCTATTAGAAGCTAACTTTTTTACTTCAAAATAATGGAGTCAACTCACATTTCTTTCAGAAAAGGGTGCTTATAAAATGCATCTAGAATCCTCCCTGTAAATTGGTTATGATCCAAGTACCTAATATTGTTGAAGTAAAGGAGCACATGTCAAGCAAAAACGAAAATGGCAAGCATGTAGCATTTTATTGGCAACCTTCCATTAAAATGACTCTACGAAAGCTTTTCCCATCATCACACTTGAATAATTATAATACTTTTCAAAACACACACACGAGGTGGGTAATCAAATTACATCGGGTTAACCAAAGAACACTAATATGTTTGCCACCAAATAAAACAGAGTCTCCATGATCAATTACAATCCATGTTCCAGGCAGAAACTCACAGGTATGTTAGTCTAGGAATATGGGCAAGCGCTGATGGTATGGCTCCAGACATCTTGTTGTAAGACAGGTACCTAAAGCAAAAGCACCAATCAAATTTCATTATCTGAAAACAAATATACATCTAACTAGGGGAAAGCAAGCCTGACCACTCATACAGATTAATAGTACTTACAGAATTTCCAAATTTGTCAAGTTTGCAAGCTGTGCCGGAACTCCTCCAGTGAAGAAGTTATTATTCAAATAGCTTAAGTATCAGAATTACAAAAGATTCTTCAGCGTGTCAGATTCAGTTATACAAATGTATCAACGTAATAACAACAAACTGGACAACAATTAACTTACAGGTTGCGTAGAACTGGAAAACTTCCTTCAAAACGAATAAGTTCCCTAAGGGTACCCACCAAATGGTTGTTACCAACATCCCTGAAAAAGGATGTATATTAAATTGTTAAACAAAAAATGTGGATGGTAGCTAAGGACAGTTCTCCTTACAAAAATAAGAAGAGGATAATATGAGACATAAAATATTTACTCTTCTAAAATGTGGCAAGGAGAAGGTGGAATATTACAAGTGTCTAAGGTTTTCCAGGGTCCCCAGTTCCGGTGGAATTCGCCCCATGAATCGATTCTCATGAAGATATAGATAGCGAAGCTCTGGTAGACTTGCAAGCTCCTTGGGAATTTCCCCTTTAAAATTATTGAAGCTCAGATACCTACATAATTTCATTTAAATATCATTAACTGACAAAACAGAGAGAGAGAGAGAGAGCACAAATTCTAGAAATATCTCCATGAGAAAGAAATGTACTCACAAATGTGTTAGTTTCTTCAGCTCACCAATTTCAGGAGGAATGACATCTTGCAGCTTATTCCACCTCAAATTTCTAACATGGAAAGACAAAATATAAGAAACCAATGAAAAGATCAATGCCATATATCAAATGCAAAGAATAGTTTCTTCATAGATGATGATCATCATCACCATCAAATGTAACATAGAATGGTTCCAGAAATTAGAGAGAGATTGTCTGCCAAATGATGTGCTAGGTAGAAAGCAAAACAATAAATAGCTGGATGAATGAGCTTGAATTAAAATAAAAAATTGGCTATTGGATGGAAAGACTCCTTGAGATGCTATGTTAGTCTTAAAACTATAGAAGATACATTTTATTAATACCCTTGCGCAATTAGATCTTATCGACATCAATTTCAAATAAATCATTTTACCTTATTTCATCTTGTTTGTTGAAATCCACACATATAAGGTTCTCAAATCAACCTACTCACCTTGTTGAAACCTAAATCTAAATTACTAAATATAAATTTAAGCCATAGTAATTATATAACTGAACTTGAATCCGCTCATGTCAAATCCTTCAATCCAAATTAAACATAAAATCCAAAGTGGATGTTAGAACACATGTTTACAGTGTTGGAAAATTTAGGAACAAATGCAGTTAGTGGTTTGAACAAAATGAGTGTCCGAGTCATCACTTAGTCTAATTTTGGTCAACTCAATTGGAAGCTACAAGAACGAGTGGACACTGGTAGCCAGAGATGGGAGAGCATGGATGATACAGTTGGAAGTGCTTAGAGATTTTGATCACACTTAAGGTGAGGTAAGTGAGACCTTAGCCAACTTACATTTTCGGTGACTAAATTGTTAGTTAGACCTGGACCTACCCTGAACCTAGGTGTTTTAGTTTTAAGGTGATGAACAGATTGTGTTTAGACTTGTTAGGAATCAAAAGGTACTAGAGGATTTGAACAGAAGTTGGAATGTCCGTGGTATGTCAAGACAAATTAACCAGTACATTTAATTATACATATGATCACGTTTCGCCACTCACCAATGAAGATGATTTACCGCTTCCCAACCCTTACATATGCAACTATATATTGATCTCTTCTCATACAATAGGGCTCCAGTCTTAAAATTCCATTCTGCAAGAAAAAAGAGTACATTGTAACCTCCATCTCAAGATATAGTTTAGTAAATTTCATTTTTTGCAGGCCATCGTGGCTAAAATCATCAGAACCTACAGGTACATAGGTGATTCAATTTCGATGCTAGGAATCCAGAAATGGAATGCCCTATTCATTGGAACTTTTGAGAGAGAGAGAGAGAGAGAGAGAGAGAGAGAGAGAGAGAGAGAGAGAGAGAGAGAGGGAGGGAGAGGGGGAGGGGGGGAAGTGCCACTGATGTTGGTCGATCCATGCCATCATCTGACTTGAATCCTCTGATCTTGTATTTCAAAGAATGCATCTCAGATTTTCTGCTATTAGCAATCTCCATAGGGGATTTCTAAAAGACAATTTTATCCTTATGCGTGCTCACTTGAAAGGAGATCTTACTTGTGTATAATCTTGTTATTAATTAGCTGTTATCTTACTTCTTTTTTTGTTACGCATGATGAAGTTCAGAGTCTGATGAGACATTCTTCTGAGGCTAGTATAGTCTCAAGTGATCCGAGACACAGAGCAAAAAATCTGCTTCCATGAAAAACAAGTCCAGGAATGTTGAATTTGGCTGCAACATCAGTTGCTCACGGGAAGAAAATGTCTGCGACAAGGCAATCAGGATGGCCTTCTTGTAGGACATGCTCGAGTGGTTCTTGGAGCATTGTGAAGGCCTTGAAAAAGTTGGGAAGCATATCTTCGGAGTCAACTTGATCAACATTTTTGCATCCTTCAGGTAAGCCTGCTCCACTGCAGGGAATTTGATGACACTGACAGAAATTTGGGTACCCAAATTTTTGGTTGTTTGGATTGCTTTGGTGAAGATAGGGCATTGAGAGGAGTGTTCTTCTTTCCATTCATGGCATATGGCCACATGATACCCACTCTGGACATGGCCAAACTATTCGCTTCATGCGGTGTCAAAATTTGGAACATACATACAAAATTTGGAACGTATAATGGGAAATGTTCCACTTCAGTACACTTGCACTATGCTTTTTTTTTTTCAAAAACAAAACAGAAGAAGAAGAAGAAGAAGAAGAAGAAGAAGAAGAAGAAGAAGAAGAGAAGGAAATGACACAATTGTGCTTCAAAAGCACTCTCACATTCCACAATTGTCCCAAAAAGTACACTTACACTCCACTTTTGAGAGGTAATTCCATAATTGTTCCATTTTTTTTCTTAAGAAAATCATTTGCAGTGCAATAGTCAAAAGTGATGTGTGAATATCACATCCCTATATAACATATCACACCACTTTATAGCAATTAATTATAATCACGTATATCTGATGCTTAGGCATCATTATTGGTCTATCTTTAATTATATATAATGAAGCATTTAAGAACTCCAAATATGAAGGAAGGTGGGAGAAGAGGGATGCTAGAGCTCAACAACACAAATAGGAATGAGGAAAATATTTTAAAATGAATTAAACAAGAAATTTTCCATATATTTAATACTAATAACCACTAGAGAGAAGAGAAAGGTACAGTATTCTAAGCCATTTCAACCGTCCAATTTGAGGAGGGATTGGCCCTGTAAGTTTGTTGTTATGGAGATCCCTGCAACATTGAGACAGATTTAAACAATTATATTTCCTTTCAAATGAAGTAAAATAAATTTTGTAAACAGAAAAGAGAACCTTTCTTTGCAGTACTAAATTACAAGAGAGTTTCTCCAAGAACATAAGAAACTATTTCTAGCTTGATGAAAACAAGCAACAACGAGATGCATACATAACAGCTTCTGCATTTTTGCACAATATAGTGTCATTTTGAAAATATAATAGCACACAACACCAATGGGTAGCTCATGATTAAGGCATGCCAACTGCACATAGAACCATTTACTCCCTTCGACATCCACTGGTGCAATATAAAACATGGCAGGTTTCATTAATATTATTGTAGTGCAATACCCTTATAAACAGCATATGCAATAGATTTAGTCCTTTAAAGACACGAACAGCAGTAAATGTAATGAAGTTAAATTCCACTTAAAAGTTATACAAGATAAACTGCACAGAATGCAACATGTAGATTATACACCCATTTTAACATGAGTAGAATTATAGTAAAACCTTTTTGAGTTCAAAGTTCATTCTAATTACATTAATACTAACAGGGCAACGAGGGGGGAGAGATCTTACAGCCTTGTCAAATCTAACAAATTGGTCACGGCGGTAGGAAAAGGCCCGACAATTGATACTGCATAAACTTCCCTGCATATCGAAAATACTCATAGATAAGGATCAAGGGGCAATATCAATCCCCTGGAACATAACATCAACTGTACTGCAAGAAGAAATTCAACATAAGGCCCAGATGATCCGTATATTTTGATTTAATGAATATTTTCAAAAATATTCAGAGTATCTTAAATAACAAGTTTAACACAATTAAATCCATAACATCTTTATCCATATCGTCAGACAGAGTCTCTACCGAGACAGCAGTGATTTTTTGTTCTGGACGAGATCTCAGCTGACTCGGACCCGACTCTGGGCTCTGGCCAAGTCAAAGTCGACTTGATCAAGTTGGCTGAGTCTTACAATGATGCTTACAATGGTTAATTGCTCACAATCAAAACCATTGTGCTCATTATATATTTTCTTGATCATATTGCAACTATGCAATCAAAACCATAACATCCTTAGACTCCTTACTGCAAAGGCATGAGCTACAATACGTGACCAAGAAGAGGTGGTTGCAGATAGTGTGCTAGAGGGTGAAATGGACAAGCTGCAGAGTGGAGTAAGTGAACTGTCCAGTGAAGAATGGGGAGCTGAGGATTGTGAGCAAGATGAGGTGGTTGCAGATTGTGTGCAAGAGGGTGATGTGGACAAAGTGCATAGTGTAGTAACTGAAGTGTCCAGAGAACAACATGAAGATCATTGCTGTTTGTAAATATCAAATGGTAACAAAAACGACTTCATTTTAATTTGTCGGGCTGTTTTGTAGCTTTGCATCATATATTTTAATCTTTTTTTCATTGTACAAGGACGAAAGTATAATTTTGCATGTCCTTTAACAGCCAGCTATGAATTGGCCTTGCTAATTTTTGAAAGTTAAGGAGGACTTTTTTGCTTCAATAGGAGAGTGCTTGCAAAATATGACTAGTTCAAGGGGTTTCCTTGAACTAAAATTATGAAAAAGAATTCCTTGTAGGAGTACAACTAAAATTATGAATGAAATAATATTGAGAAAAGAACGTATCACTGGACATCAGCGTATAAATGAATACTACTTACAATTCTGTCACAACCCGAAAATCTCCCAGTGTTGAACATGTGACGCCAGACCAAGGTGGTAGATTACCATCTCCACAGGGATCATCTCCAACCCATGAATATACCACCCTCCATCCTAGTGATGCTTTAATTTCATTCAAAGCTTTCACTGTAACAAACAACACCATTATTATAGTCCCTCGAGTGCACAAAAAAAGATTATTAATTCAGACTCTCAATTCCTTCCAAATCAACTCCACAATCTAACATATCACTACTAGGGAAAAGGGTCTGGACCAAACACCTAATGGGTCCATTTAGTAGAACAGCCAGATAAAAAGCAACCAGATTAAACTGAACTTATAACCTGTTCAATTCGTTAATTCTATGGAACATACTTGAAAAAAATATCCTAGTGAATTTTTTGAAAAATTTGAGTCAAATCAAATGGTCAAAAACTTCAAACCATAAACAGGGTTAACTCAAGTACAGTCCATCAACTAAGTGAAACCTATCATATAATTGGTAATATTAGTAATTGAAATGAAATAACTAGGTAGAGGACAATGTAAAAACTCAGATCTTTTGCAAGAGAAACGAGTCTCAATGAACTGCTGGTTTTACATAATGAATATGAATAAATTGATCGGTACACAAGCACACTTTAATCTGATATTATGTGTTAGTAACAGAAAACAAAGAAAACTCAGAGCGTTAATACTGATAATCCACAATCAAAATATTGGAAAACTTAATTTCAAAACCTAATAAAAAACAGAGTAATGATCCAATGACACCTAAAATAAGAGTTTTATTTATACTTGTTACTGATAATCAGGAAACAAACAACAAAACGAAATTACAAGCATTTCAATGCAGAAAAATCTAAAATATCGAATTAAGAGTGAGACTTCTCAGTTAAAAAATCTACAAGAATTGTAATCAGAGAGAGATCTGTGAGTTACCATCTCTTTTGAGTGTTTTGCTGTGAGCGATCCCGAAAAGGAGAGAGAAAATGAAAAAAACATTTGATGCCCATCGAGGAACCATTTTAGAGAGAAAAATTGAAGTCACAGACTCAAACTGAGGAGAGAGATGGAGTTACAAGACTCTCAACTCAGTTTAGACTCTGCAAATGGTTGGGTCCCACAATATGGAGTGTATCGTCTTGCTATAGAGAAATGATTGGATCGCGGCGAAGAAATTTATGAATCAAGCTTTGGAAAAGTTTATTCGGTACGGAATAATTAAAGATATTTTTAATTTTATTTTTGATCAAAGCTTCTTTGTTTTCAAATATTATTTTTTAAGATAAAATATTCTTTTATTTTTATTTTATAAGTGTTTAGTAAAGTTGAAATCGAATTTATAGAACATGTAAAATAATAAATAAGTTATTTTTGTTAAATTTTAATTTTTTTTTTTAGTAAATATTTTATAACAACTTAACAACAGAATATAAAAAAAAATATTTTTTGAAAAATATTTTACTTCCAAACAAAACGAGCCCCAAAAGCATAAAAGTCCTCGCTTTTCAAAATAATTGGTGAGAGAGTTCAACTCTTCACAAGACAAATAAATGCGTGAAATTTTTGTCAAAATTAAAAAAATATGTTTATATGTTTTTGGCACAATTAAATATTAATCAAAGTATAAAATGATTTTTTGAGTGTTCAATTTAATGTTGAGTTTTGGTATTTATGCAATCAATACACCTTGTATGCTAGCATAGTTCACTTTTATGATGATAATCATATATTTATTTTGTGTTCGAACAAAGTGATACCAAATAATAGGAATTGATATTCAACAAATTTTATTTTATTTCTTTATATGCTTTTCGACATAAAATAAAAGGGTGCCATTACTTTTATTTTATTTCTTTATATGTTTTTTCAACATAAAAAAAAAGGGTGTCATGACTTAAAAGTGAAATATAACCATACTTTCTTTTGAATAAATGAAATCATTGTGGGAAACTTAATAAAAGGAAATAATATTTTTCCCTTGTACAATTGTTCGTAATCCCCATGCACGTCTAATCTAATTCACAATTGGAAAATGTCTGAACTTCTGGCAAATAAATGCTTTTGAGAATTACGGAGAGCACCGCGAGCGCAAGCGTGCGTGTAGAGAGAGAAAACAAGAAACAAAGTGAATCACACCAAAATGAAAACTTGACACAAGGTTAATGGTTCAGAACCTGGCTTTAGAGTATGCGATTAAGTATTAGACAAGCTAAAATAGTAGCAGCGATGGTCTTGCAATTTTCAAGGTCTACAAACTCAAGCCATGACATAAACAAATTCAATGGAAAATTCGACAAAAAGAAAGAATTGTATTGGTGCAATGCTCTTCAAAGGATGTAGTTATTTCCCTGTAATAGTCCTTCAAAGCTTTTGAGAGTCTAGTTATTTCCCTGTAATTGTCCTTCAAAACTTCGGAGTCAATATCACATGTATACTACTTCAAATGGCAAACCAGCTTCTATGCTCTTCATCATAAAGTCCATGACAAAACCACCTTTTTTTTTTTTTTACACACATGCCTCACTGAACCTCAAATCCCTGACCTCCCCTTTGGAAAGTAGAGGTCTGGTTGGTAAACCACCCATTTTTTTGTCTTGTATTTGTTGCTTAATAACAGGATCCCCAGGGTCTTCGTTTCTCACCCTCACACAATTCTTCACAACTTGAACACAATCTTCAATTCTCTCTCTTATCTCTTCCAACTCTTCCGTATATCCACCGCGAACGCTGAAGCTATGCAAGCCAATGACAGACTCATATAAAAGGATACAGTCACTATCGTCATGTCCAATGAAGTAGCTAATATAATGATTCAAATGTGTACGCATGGACTGCATCGGCACAAGAACAGCCTCACGATCAGAGTGACATAAGCTTGGGTGTGAAGCTTCACTAGTTGATGCTTGGCCAGACATAAAATGGGTCATAAAAGAAGCTGCAGTTGTATCTTCCATTGGGATCCAAACAAGCTCCCTCTGTTGGGCTACCACCACCAGATGAAAAATCCAACCAATATTATTAAAACTAAGCTAAAGATGCTTTAGTGAGGTAGGTAAAAAAAAAACACGATCTCTTAATAAATGAATGCATGATAAATGAAAAGTGAATCCAGGGTTTGTTTACCAAGCAGTTTCGTGTTACCGATCAATGATAATCACCTTAGGGACATGACAGACTACAGTTTTGTGTTTACCAAGGCTAGCTGTCATAACGTCAGACTACATATGAAATCAGCGATGCACAGAATGGTTACCTTTGCTAGCAGGCACTAAGCAGCTACATTCCCAGTTTGTGCACATCTGTGTTAACAAGACACTACTGTGCTAGAAGCCTGGAATAAATCGTATTGACCTTATTTCCTCACATTATCAAAAACTGCAGCTTTTAAGACATCTCAATCTTTAGCAGCCTTCAAAAAAACCCTACAGCTGCAACTATAGGGTACAAGAAAAAGAAAAAAACTTACATTTTAGTAAAACATCATGGAAACAGTAAAAAGCATTTAAATAGAAAGAGTTTGAGTTGCCGCAGTACAAGTGGCGAGGATAAAACTCATTCCAAGTTGGATACGCGTCAAACATTGTCCAAGCTAAACGCATAGACTCTGAAGGCAAATTAACCAAGCTGGAGCTTAGATCCGACACAACAAAATCAGCTGAATCTAGGAGACAGACTTGGACCCGAGATTGAAACTTGTTTCATGCTGGGTTGACATCAAACATTTGCCAAGCCGAAGTCTAAGCTGTGAAAGCAAATATTACAATTGGAGACTAGACCCAAGACAATGAACAGGTTCCATTCAGGGCAACTATAAATATAAGTGTTGGCTACTGTAAAAGTGCCATCATCATCATTGCCTTTTTCCCAAATGAATGGAGTCGGCCACAAGAATTCTCATTTTCCATTCTATTTTCATCTACAACATGTCTACTCTAATATATAATCTTTTGAAATTATTTTCAATTACTTCACTACATTTTACTTTTTTCAGCCTCACGGTCCTTTTTATGCAAAGGTTTATGTTCTACATGACCAATAGAACATATCACCTAAACCTATCTTCTCTTACTTCATTACAAATAAGCATTATTCCTAATATCTTCCTCACAAGTACGTTAGTAAATCATCTTTTCTAGTCAACTCCTCTCATTTACCTCCACATCCTCATTAGTTACATCACAACTCACAAGTATGTTGATCATATGGATCAATTATCCAGTTGGGTTGTTTCACGAAAGGTATCAATACTCACCCAAGCCGACAGAAGGTTGGATATCAGATTATAGACTGATAGAGGGCTCAATCGAAAGGCAAAGAAACAAGAACAACAGCCAAAAAAACATGGGGTCAGGTCCAGGCAAAAATTCACTAGTAAACTACTTCAAAACAGAGACCTGACTTCTAAACCAGTGCTTCCACATATACAGCTCTTGCAACATCTGCTGTCCCATCTGATGATTGTACGACTAGAATCATGATGTACTTCAACTATGGCAATCACAAGATGATAAACACAATCAGTAAAAAAATAAATTTATAAATTGCAAATTAGGATATTCAGGATGCAGGTAATATATGTTTCGTCAAAGGTTTAGAAGGAGAGTCTTTAATCTCTCAACAATCAGAAATAATTATTTGAAGTACACCAAACAGATTAGCAATCATAGAGCAAAGACAACCGATATTTACACATTCCACACATTCCAAGAGCCGAAAGAGAAGAATTGTATTCGGCTTATTCTGCAAACAAGTTGTGCAGAGTGGGACCCAATTTTAACGGTTAGTTTCAAGACACATTATTGCTTCCCCTCTGACCCTGCACAACCCACTAATGTCATGATTTTTAGGTTTACAGAATTAAGTCTGCCAACGAGGAAAATGATGACATTTATAATTTTATATAATTCAGAATTAAGTGAGAAATATAATTAATAGCCGAAAATTTTTCATCTTATTTCTCTTTCTCAAAATCCAACTTTTCCAATTTGATATCAGATCAACTTTTCAGGGGCCTTTGCTTGGTACAGTGGTAAACAACTTGGGCTGTCAACCGTGAGAACATGTTTGAAACTTTGAATCCTAATAGCAGCCTCTTCGTGCAGTCAAAGCCAAAGGCCAGTCTACGGGCGACACATTGGGTAATGACCCTTATCAGAGCAACTTTTTGTGGTAAAAAATCAGATTGAAGGCATAATCAGAGTGATTGTACTCAAGCAAGACTATTTGTAAGCCATACAAACTTACAGGTGCTGATGACAGCACGGGGGGCAAAACCTCCACAGCTGCATCCCTCACACCTGCAAAATCTTTGTGCTATCCCAGATTTTTCCTGATGCGGGTTGACTTTGATCTGTTCTATACATTTCTGACATAATGATCAAGTCGATGCACCAAACAAGTTATCATATCTGAAATCCTCCACAGCTGCAGCCCTCGCACCAGCAAAATCTGTGTTATCCCAGAAATTTCCTGGTGAGGGGTAACTTTGGTCTGTTCTATACTCTTCTGACATAATGATCAAGTGGATGCACCAAACAAGTTACCATATCTGAAATCATCCCTTGATATGCAGAAATTCCCCCCTATATAAGACCATAGATCCTAAATTCCTCTTCTTTTTCTTGAAAATCAAGTAACAGCCTCTAAAACACTTTCAAAAAGAAAAATAAAATAAAATAAAATTTCTTAAGAATTATGGGTCATGTTAGCAAATTCCTACTCAAAATTCGGGCTGCAATGTGCTAAAATATTGAGTCATTTGGTTACAACCATAGAAGATATTGGAGATAAAAGATTCATGAAGAACTAGGCACAGAATCTACATGGCTGAATCATATATCCAGGGCAAAGGTAATTAAATTGCCCATACAAGACCTGAAACTAAGAGTCTAAGACATCTAGAAAAGTTTTGAAAATTAAGTTTTGGTGGAAATGCTTGATCAATGGGTCGATTGATCAAAGGTTGTCCAGTAAGCATCAGTGGATAGATGGATCGATTGAATAATTTTTGTGAAAATTTGTTTTGAATTGTGGTGAAGCGTCAGCCAATTGAGAGAATTCCAGAAGGTGTAAATCTAATGCTCGATCGATCAAACCCTTCGAAAGTCCAGTTTTGGAAACTCCCTTTCATCAGAATTTTATAAGAACTATACATAGGTCAAGTCACTGTATTTATATA